TCGCTATTGAGAGAGCCAGGAAGTATGCTTTGGAACAAAGCATTCAAAATGCTTTGAAAAAACAGATGGACCAGCTGCAGACGCAGGTTTTATACCTCTTTCGCCCGTCACACCTTTAGGACGCAAACATAATAAAGCAGAATCAAGCGCTTGTTCTGCTAAGCCGTATATACGTGGGATCTATTAGTTTTGAAATAGGCGAAGAAGAAATTCGAAAGGCCTTTTCGCCATTTGGTCCCATTAAGTCGATAGCCCTGAGCTGGGATAGTGCTTTGCAGAAGCACAAGGGCTTTGCGTTTGTCGAGTTTGAAGTACCCGAGGCAGCTACCCTGGTGCTTGAACAAATGAACGGTTTCATGATCGCTGGACGGGGCATTAAGGTAAGCAAGCGTTGCTTTGACTTGGGTTGAAACCATAGCTTTGCTGTTTGTTATCACTTTCCTGTTCGTATTTTCAGCTTGTAATACTGTGATGAAGCAAGGCAGTAATACACACTGACGACTCCCTGCTTTCTTGAATATGCCAAGTAACCTCGAACTGCCTGAATTACTGCGACCAAGGCCTTGACCTTTTGGCCGGTTCTGTCGTAGTACGCAGCTTTTTAATGTGGGTAAACCTTTAAAATTTTGTAAGTAGAACTTAGTGAAAGATCCTATGCAAGCTAGTTTGACTCATACTATGTACAAAAGTAGCCACTACAGCGAATCTATTATTTTATTCTTCTTTATCTTGAAAATTTAACTACACTTCGCAGACTTGGCTGGCTTTTGTTAATTGTCATCGCTGTCTTCAACTGTCCTCAACATTTTCATACTGGAAATTTTTTCGACGAATAGTTGAAAACTTTATTTGTGCACTGCCTGGGCAGGTGGGTCACCATAAAGATTTCAAGGCCTTGTTTTGCGACCTTGCAGTATTTCGATCATATATTCATGGTGGGATAGCATGCTCGCGCCTAACAGTTCTAGTATGTCTAGTTATATTCTCACAAATCCCGAAGAATCTTAGGGATCCGTTTAAATGTGCAGTAATGGCACAAGGCGGAGTTTGCTGTTTTAAAAAGAAAAGTTGAAATGAGTTTTGTTCCTCTCTGATCGTTGGGTTATTACAATTGCGTGTAAGGTCATTCCAGACCTGGGTAGTTTGCCTCATCGGCCTCTAAAATCCCCCCAGTGAATTAAGTGACCCATTCGGCAATTAGATTCCATAAATATTCGTACGGAAAGCACTCAGAAGCACAATTATTTCTTTCTTAACCCACTTGAATCCTGTAAACTGCACAAGGATTTTATAGCCCTTTTTGGAGCGCCCGGAACTTAGTGGATTTTCTATTTCGTTTTTGACCCCGGATCGGGTTCGTTACTGACTGCGCTTATTACTTAAGATGGAAGAATAAGGGGAGGGGAGTATGGCTGGACTAATGCATATATCGCACTTATACTTGCATGTACTTCACCCGATCGAAATCAGGATTAATACAGCTAGCCTTGTTTATGACTCGTCTGTCGCATCTATGCCAAACGCTCTATGCTGGCGGACCTGCTGAATTTGAGTACCTTTTACAGCAGCCAATAATATTTCTGAGCAACGTCTAAGAACTATTTCGGGATTTAGCTGGGGCCCATATAACCGAGTCATGGAGTGTAGATGGTTGGACATGAGTTCTTTATCGGCTAACAGAGAATTTACCCAAAATATTCCTTTGCCCTGTTTCGACAGCGAGT